GGAGGGGGCGCGCGGCACCGCTTGTGTGATCGTGCACTCGACAAAGCGGGCGCTCTCCAGCGAGACGTCGCCGCTGTTGTATACGGCCATACCTCCTCCGTACTGCGCGAGTTGGGGCGGGCAGGCATGAACGGGGAGGGCGTCAGCGAGCGAGAGAGGGCGGGCAAGCCCTGAGCGACCCTTTGGGGAAAGCGTGCCGGCTTCGCCACCCCATGCCCCTCTGCCTTCTTCTCCCGCTTCCGGCTGCGGCGATGGCGTGCGAGCGTGTGTGTGCGGGGGAGGCGAGCGTGTGCGGGCGTGGGAGACGCACATAGCCGGACGTGCACTCGCTGAAGCTGGCCCTCTCCAGCAAGACGTCGCCGCTGCCCCACACGTACAAACCTCCTCCGTCCTGCGCGAGTTGGGGCGGGCAGACATGAGCCGGGAGGGCGTCAGAGAGCGAGAGAGGGCGGGCAGGCCCAGAGCGGCCCTTTGGCGAAAGCGTGGCCCCCTTCGCCCACCCCCTGTCCCTCTGTCGCCTCCCGCTTCTGGCTGCGGCGATGGCGTGCGAGCGTGCGTGTGCGGGGGAGGCGAGCGTGTGCGGGCGTACGCACCCTGCCAGACGTGCACTCGCTGAAGCTGGCGCCTTCCAGCGAGACGTCGCCGCTGTTGGACACGACCATACCTCCTCCGTCCTGCGCGAGTTGGGGCGGGCAGACATGAGCTGGGAGGGCGTCAGAGAGCGAGAGAGGGCGGGCAGGCCCAGAGCGGCCCTTTGGGGAAGGCGTGGCCCCCTTCGCCCACCCCCTGTCCCTCTGCCTTCGTCTCCCGCTTCCGGCGCGGCGATGGCGTGCGAGCGTGCGTGTGCGGGGGAGGCGAGCGTGTGCGGGCGTGGGAGACGCACATAGCCGGACGTGCACTCGCTGAAGCCGGCGCCCTCCAGCGAGACGTCGCCGCTGCCGGACACATACATACCTCCTCCGTACTGCGCGAGTTGGGGCGGGCAGGCATCAGCGGCGAGGGCGCCAGTGAGCGAGAGGGGGCGGGCAAGCCCTGAGCGGTCCTTTGGGGAAGGCGTGGCCCCCTTCGCCCACCCCCTGTCCCTCTGCCTTCGCCTCCCGCTTCTGGCTGCGGCGATGGCGTGCGAGCGTGCGTGTGCCGGGGAGGCGAGCGTGTGTGGCCGTGGGTGACGCACCCTGCCAGCCGTGCACTCGCTGAAGCTGGCGCCTTCCAGCGAGACGTCGCCGCTGCCCCACACGTACAAACCTCCTCCGTACTGCGCGAGTTGGGGCGGGCAGGCATGAGCGGCGAGGGCGTACAGCGAGCGAGAGAGGGCGGGCAGGCCCTGAGTGAGTGGCCCTTTGGCGAAAGCGTGCCCCGTTTGCCACCCCATGTCCCTCTTCCTTCTTCTCTCGCTTCCGGCGCGGCGATGGCGTGCGAGCGTGCGTGTGTGGGGGAGGCAAGCGTGTGCGGGCGTGGGAGACGCACCAGGGCAGCCGTGCACTCGCTGAAGCTGGCGCCTTCCAGCGAGACGTCGCCGCTGTTGTACACATTCATACCTCCTC